ATAAAGACTATTTTAAGAAGAGCATTTGGTGTGTAGATGTATTCACATGTTCAGTGATTCAGGATGGGCACGGCTCAAATTTCAGCTCGAAATTTGCACGGAGCACTGACTTAAAGTTCATTTTATTTGAACTTTGACCTCCGTTGCCGTTAACCTTTAGTGCAACCGCCAAGATAACAGCTGTATGTGACGTTGCCAGAAGCGGACCAGGCAAGTAGGGGAAGTAACCATAGAAACCAAATCGCCTCGCAACCTTCACGTGACAGGAAGTGTTCTCTTTGCTCATGTAAAGTGCAGGGTTTTGCAGCAGGAAATGAAAGCAGAAATGTGACATGTTTTAGCAGGATGACCAGCATGCTACATGTCCCTCCGTCCCTCCATGTCCACTGAAGGAAGGACTCGTCCAGCTCAGACCTGCAGTCCGCTCAGACCTGCAGTCCGCTCACTTTCACATTTATGACAAACTGCTCCAGTTTTAACGCTTTACTAGAATCCAATACAGTCCAGTACAGTTTTCACAGCCCATCAGCAAGTTTCTGAAGAAATCCCAAAACACGACATATGACACAACATTGTGAACATTACAGTACATTAGAAACACATTACAGGAGTTTTCTTCAACATATGAGAATCATTCAGTTTTTTATATATTTTTCAAATATTCTGAGTAGCAGATCTGCACCAGAGGCAGAAATAGCATTCCATCCATCAGAGGTCATCAGGGCAAATAATCTCATTGGTTGGGTCCAATGTCAGGGGGCGGAGCCAAATGAACACATGGTATACAAATGTGGCCAAAATATTCCAACTATATTAAGCACTGTTGCAGTTAACATATAATACATCTGTGCTATTTGGACACCCTCTTAGCTGATAGGTAAATATATAAAATCAACTTAAAAAATATATAAAAAGGAAGAAGGAATGTATGTCACTATTAACTGTATTATTGGTATTGGTACAAGTAATTGTGCAAAAATGTAGTTAAACTGCAAATAAAGCACAGAGTGTGTCCGGCTGCTGTTACCCACTGGGATCTCTCATTTCGTTCATCTGTATTTCAGAAAAATGTAAACGTGTTATTCTGGCTTTCTCTGAAAAATGTGATAGCACACAAAAAGATCTATCGTTTTCATAACGTTTTACAGATGCAGCAGCGCGCCTACGTCATTGAAACCACTGGTCAGTAGTTATCCAGGATTTTAACCACAAATATTTCTGATGGTTTAATTCTGATGTACTAGTTTGGGCTAGTGGGAAAGCGCTAACTAAAGTATTAAGTAAACCTATTTATTTTGTAAATGTAACTTCCATATCTATAGGGAGTAAAACAGTGTTAACAAGGTTATATCCCAAAGCTGGATTTTTTGTTATTTGCCCTGAAGGTCCAGTTTCAAGAAAGTTTACTAAGGTTTAGTAGCTATATTATATCAACTATATTTTATTATTTAACAACTTGCCTTACGGTTTATGCTCTGTCCATTGAGGATAAACCATTGAGATTATTCAAAGACAAGACACAGTTTTCATAATAAACATTAAAATACATCGTAGCAAGGGTCACTGTAATAGAGACTTCAAATCAGGAAAACCAAAAAGTTCCCATTCACTGACCAGCTGAAAGCAGAGGAAGCCTTTCATTGTCCAATTATTCGGGAGAGTTTCATACAATAACTTCAACAACAATTTAAGGCATGATGAACACATATTTAAAATACTTCAGTGATGTTTTACATACTGTCTTGTTATATCCTTTCCTGTGTCTAATAAACAGTTGTCTTAACAGAGAAAATGATCCAAAGAATCAGTGTTGTTATTGTGGTTTTCCCAAATCCATGTAGAAAAGAAAAAAATGTATATTGTATAAAATAATGATCTGACTGAAGGACACGATCAACACCTTTGGCCTTGAAAAGTTTAATCTTTGAGTCCGAGAGGCAACCAGCGGCATCAGCTTTATCAGACCTATCTATAAGGCGGATATTGGTGTTTTAGTAAACAACAGGTCTCAGGTCAGTGTCATCTGATATGACAGACAAAGCATATGAAACATGATAAAATCATTATTATACAAATGGTCATGATTGTCTATAAAAGCCTAATATGAATGATTCCAGTGCGATATTTTGAAATTAAGGTAGATCATTCGAGGGTTTAACCCTGATGAGAAACTGCTGTGAAAAACTGGTTCCAGAACATCCAAATCCTCACCATCCAGCCTGCCCCCAGCAGATCCTCAGAGGAGGTCGCTACCACTGCATCAACCCAAGCCTCACACATCTGAAGATACCACCCCCTGCGGCACCATGCTGGTCATTTCTTCCTAGCATTAACCACAAAAATCTCCATCATGAGACTGATTGGAGAACTGAGGAACCTGAGCATGACTGGATATTGGACTTCCTCACAAACAGACACTTCAGAATGGTGGTCTCCTCCTACTGTATCTACTGTAGTGTTAAACTACAGAGCTCCCCAGGGCTGTGTGCTCAACCCCCTTATTAAAATAAGGTGGAGACACACTGCTGTTTACCTCAGTCACGCTGAGGGGGAGCCAGTAACAGGGTAAAGTTCCTGGGAATTAGCATCACAGAGACGAGAAATATATATCATATTTTTGAATGAGGCTGCATGTGCCATAGGAAGGAGAGTCCTATCTGAATGGCTTGTTGGATCCTGTGTTCTGAACGAGGCAGCCCAGAGGAACTGCCTGTTTCCGCTCACAGTTTGTTGTTATGTAGCCACTCTGGATGTATAAAGATATACAGCGTTGGAGGCGGGGCCCCCTACATAACTATGAAAGTTGCTCAATTGCGCATGAAGCCAAAATGGCCTTCCTCTGGAGAACAACAACATCAGATCAGCCGGGGATCTGGGCTCATAGAGCAAGCGCACTCACATTTTCCTTAAGCCCCGCCTCCAATCCACTTCGTCACGTCCGGTCACGGCTCAGTTACATGAACAGACAATAACTCTAGATCTGGATTTTAATGCATTTACAACTTTAAGGACCTGATGACTTGAATATGGGCTAGATGACTTCGTCCTGGGAAGTTGATTTATTTTTACACTGATTTACAGACATCTCTTTCCAAATTTAAGTCAAGGGGATTCTTTTTGGGCCAAGTGTCACAGTCTGACACGGCAGTTGTAATACCGACCTCCACCAAAAATGTGCTTGCCGCATTTCCTGGGGGCCCTGGTGAGGGGCCCTAAAAGAGCTCCACACATATTAGAGGCCTAACCCAGCCGGAGCCTGTTCATGTTGCTTCCTTTCGGCAGCGATACAGACATATCTGTCGCACCAGCTCCCCACAGAGCAGCTTGTTCCTCCAACTGTGAGACCCAGTTTATGACCGGGCAACTTTCGGTCAGAGATGGTTTATTGTTACGACCGGGCATCTTTCGGTCAAAGATAGTTATGTTATGGGGACATATGGAACGCTTCCTTCTCGGGGCTTGATGACTCCAAGGTGTGAAATCTTCGAGGCCATAAGTGTCATCTGCAAGTAATTCAGTGTCCCCAGCTGTTTAGCCTATCTAGTGAAGAATGTTGATTACCCTCATCCAAACTAGTTAAAACCTCTACGAGAGGACGGTTTCTTCAGAATAGATTGTGGCAACTAATCCGTGTGGTCAGACCGTTGGCCCTATGACTTGTCTTGTGAATTCTCCGGCCGAAGCTCCAAATAAACCATCAGTGTTTGACATCAAAGCTCCAGCTCTCCTCGTGTCTCTTTGAGTCCTGACTCCATTGCTACAGAAGTTTCCCCCACAATTATACAACTATTTTAATGTTGTGATTAATCATCATTAATCACAGATTATTGATGTGATTACTACAGTTCAATTTTTTATTTGTTAATTGCACTAATAATCGTATAAGCACATCATCGCTCTGCAGAGAGGATGATCTGCCATCTCTCAACGACCTACAGGCCTCCAGGACCTTGAGGCGGGCAGGGGGGTTTGTGGCGACCCCCACCCTGGACACAAACTGCTCCCCCATTTATGTAGGAAGTGGATTATCACATCTGAACTAGAACATTCTCTGTTGAGAAATGTTGACTGGCCCTTGGTGCTTGGCCAGATAACTTTATTGCCAGTGTGTAGGTATTGATTGCAGTAGTAGTTTGGGGACTTTATATATATCTTTTTTTAAAACAACCCTAATCCTGAGAGTAGTATTAGGATACCTACTTGCTGGGGCTTTCAGTTTGATAGGGTGTGGGATGGGGCCTTGCCTTTCACACAGAAATACATGTATAGCAATTGAAGGCCTAAAGCAACAATGGAGTTATTGTGAAATATTGTGTCTTTCAGTTTATTTCAATTAGCCAAATTGTTGTACTGTAGGTGTAATACCAGATGAAAAGCATAAATATGATGTGCACGTTGTTTCATATTTTCATAATTTTTCTTTGTCTCTTTATTTATTTCTCATTAGATCCTCCTCTCAGATAGACACACCTGTAGAGTCTCTCAGTAGGTTGATGAACAAGGGCCTTAATTAAAACCCACATGATGAATCTAGCATAATGTCAACTTTGATCCTCTAGATTGGTCTTTTCTAACAGATGTACTGTTTTCATTCAAAAAATGAATTCCACCGTTCCAGTTTTTCCCCATTAATGTTAAGCTATTTTCAATTTTTCTTGAGCCAAATTATATAAGGGAAAGCGGGAAATGTGAAAACTCTGCAGGTCGAGTTTCAAGTGCTGAGTTTCATTCTCACTTCTGTTAAAAAAAAAAAGATCAGGGCATGACTCTAAATTGCTAAAGTTAGGCTATAAACTAAATCCATCACTGCCGCAGGGCCCCGTTCACCACCGCTAAGCTACATGTAAAGGCGGCCATCTTTAGTGTGGTGAAGTTTCGTCACATTTTAGCAACTGCTGTTTTTATGACACATGGAAGCTTCAGACATTCATCAGTGGAGTATTTACTGATGTGTTTTATTTTAAAGAACCAAATGAAGAATCTCTTTACCTTGACCTTATTTCAATCTAACCAATAAAACGTTAAGAAAAAACGTTGACTACAGAGACCAGGGTACTGGACGTGGTCAATTGCAAACTTATTTACAAGTTTAAGGACTTATACCTGCACCATCTTATTAATGACAGAACTTTTTCCTAATTTCCTGTGGGACTTATTCTCCCTGCCACTGAGGTAAATAAAGTCAACTTTTGGGGTATTTACAGTATTAATGATTCATTAAATTAAAAAGCAGGGTGAACAGCAGCTTACTTTCTCTGACGTTGCCATAACGCACGGTTCTGTAGGTTCGGTTCTAAGGAGGATATCATGAATCTATATTGTGTTTTAAAACACTTTCGTCATCCTTTTTAAACCAGCCTAAATGTGTTGACTTCCCTACACAGTTGGTAGTAACTGCATCAATGCAAACATGGACCATAGACCAACAATTATTCCTGACTTTAGACAAACAACAGTTTCTTGACATACCACACAATTACCCAATATAATACCAACTTGCAAAAGGTCTGGTTATAATACTCTAGACAGCATCATGGACGTACAGCAGATACAAACACGACTTTTAATGGCTTACACATAAATGAACACAGATTTGTATCCAAAATAAACCAGCAAAGCGTACTTGTTGCTCAGCACCCTTCTACTACCTAAAAAGTGCTTTTTGACACATCTCTCTACTGAATAAGGCTTTTGGCTAAAAAATATCTCTCACACAATGCGCTTGCAACCACAGATCAAGAACAACTTTGGTTTGCTCCAGTACAACTGCTAAGAGGACACAGACCAGACTGAACGCGGGACATTCACACAGAAATATCTTGGCAGTTTGTTTCATTGCTGTTTTTTTTTCTTCTGTTACTTTTTTTGTACAACAAAATAAATCCTCTGAAGGGTTAACCTGCATGGCTGGTGTCCTGTTAATCATAATCCTCATATTCTGGATCCATGTTGTCGCCCTGGTAGTACGTCCCCTGTGTGGAGTAGGACCGTGTCTTCATTGAGCAGTTGGTGTCCATCAAAATAGCCTGGAATGACAATATAGAATATATAGAATCGGAGGGATGAAACCCTCTTTAATGGTCACACATACATGCACACAGCACACACAGTGAAATGTGACCACTGCATTTAACCCATGCTAGTACTAGGAGCAGTGGGCAGCTCCTAGTACAGGCAGGGCCCTGGATGTGAACTGGGATCTCTCCCAGTAGTAGTCCACACTCCATATTTAGGTCTGATCGGGGACTTGAACCGGCGACCCTACGGCTCACAGGCCAAGCCCCTACTGACTAGGAAAGTGTTATTTCTGCCTCAACATCTGTCAAAGTCCCCTATTGTCCTTTTTTTTAGAATTGTTTAAGCAATGCAAGGGTTACAACCTACTATATGGCTTATTGTTAAATTATTATGTGATTTATTGTTTTTTTTATATATCAATTAAAAGCTTTTTTTATGACTTGATACTGAATTCCAATTTCTATGAACACATTTCATTTATGCATAGTTGCTTTATGCAAAGCATGTTTTCTTTGACACTAAAATAATGATACACATCTTAACCCTTCTCTTGCGTTTCGGGTCAAAAGTGACCGAGTGACTTTGTTTTTGATCATAAATATTGTGTTTTTCATCCAATTGCCTCAAGACCTTATGTTATCCTCCACACTAGGCCTCTGAACATATACAATTGATGATCACCACTTGCATTGATTTTTTTTAGTGATTTATTCACACACACACACACACACACACACACACACACACACACACACACACACACACACACACACACACACACACACAAACACACACACACACAAGTTGCAAAGTATACCAATTATATATTCTCGTCCACTAGATAATAACTTGTAAGTTACAAGTTGTAAGTTGTAAGGCAATGTCTTCCCCTCTATCTCTCAATTTAACACCCTCTCTGGAATAAAGGCACTATGGCCCAAAATAAAATAAAAAGTATGTGTTTGTGTCCATCTCCTGTAAATATCAGTAGATGGTAAAGAAAAAACATCGACTAGGTTTATAATGTTACAGATGAGCACCTTTAAAAATCCATTTAACTTTAACACCTCACATGGGAACTTTCTAAAAACACAACCCAGTTTCAGAGGAAGGCCTACCACTACCTCATCATCTAAATTCATTATTGAGGAGCAGGAGGAGTTATCAGCATGCAGGATGGAGATTATCATGCAGCTGATTGATGTCCAATGACAGCACGGTAATTATGGCTTTTTTCCACTTACTAAAGTCTGTAAAACATGAATGAGTGTGTTACTGTTAAGTGCCAAACAGAAATGATAAAATGCATGTATCTATATCGGACAAACCGGCAACACACAACGCAGTCTTTCTTGCATTTCCTTTAGGATTTTAATAATCATTGCTCAGGAGTTCCTGTCTGACTGAAGTTATTAAATAAAAAGTATACTTTTTTAATGACTTTCCCTTGTTCTCACTTAGAGACATGCTAAAACACATCAGCTAAGTGAAATAGTGAACCTTGCAGATATGACTTCTGTGGAATGGTGGCAACAAGATAGGGGATGATTTTGCCAACATTACTCAAACTATAGTTGCAGTTGTAGAAGAGAATTGCTTCCAAAATGTTTTCATTGGACCGTCTATACTAGACTGGTTTAATCAACATTCTTGTCTAGTAAATGTATTATAAAAAACTTGAGGAAAATTATTAAAATTTAATTTCACGTGAATTACGATGCTATGATTCAAGCAGGATAATTTTTCTTGCTAATATTCATTTATACTAATACAGCTTATATAAAAGAGCAGACATTGAATACAATGCTGGTAGCTTAGTGGTTGAATATATCGGGATACTGCAGCATCATTCAGACTGAAAGGCAATGCAAGAAACATTAGTGTTGGGAGTTGTGCGACTTGTTATCCATCCAACAACAACATTCTGGTGGTTTGTTCACCTTGCCTTCAATATTTCTCTGTGTTCCTGTATTTGTTTGACTCTATTTAAGTGTGATTTGAAACTTACAATTTTCTCTTCTTGTCCCGGTGGATTCCTGAGGAAGATGCAAAGAGGAGCATAGAGAATATCCACTATTCCAATGATGATCATCATCCAGGGGAAGCCGATGCTCTGAGATATGGCTCCGCCGATAGACGGACCTACAACCGTCCAGGACAAATCACATAGTTTAGTTGTTTGTCAGGAGCACTTTGCTTTTCAAATCTGTTTTGACATATTTGTAATATGTAATAACCATGAAATAATAAATAAATAATCAACAATAAAACAGTATTTTATTTAATCTTGACAAGATAAACCAGAAGATTTAATTGCTTTAGAAATTCATTTAAAGGCATCATAACCTGTAGTTAATAGTTGATATTATGGCTACAGTTTTGTCATTCCTTACCTAAAGCAAATCCCATGCAGAAAGCCACATCAGCAATAGCATACACACTTCCGTAGACAGACACATGCCGCAGGTCCACCAGGTAACCCATAATAGGCATCATAGACGAGTCCACCATGCCTGTAACACACCACAATAAAGGTCTAACACACAAAGCGGGGAGAATACTACTTTGTAACTTTGTAATTCTAAATTTAGCAGACTTACCGATAGCAAACCCAATTCCAAAGTTAGGAATAATCAGACCATAGATGTTTTTGGCAAATGAAACCTAGAACAGACAGACCCATTTCAGAGTAAACAACAACACTGATATTTGGAGATACTTTTTGTTTGAGCTTTGTTATCATTGTGAAGTCTCCTATTGGCAGCATGAGTTCTGAACAGGAATGACATATAACTAAGATAGATACATCTGAATAATCTGGAGAACCTGGACCTTTTTTTTTTATCTTCAAACATCAAGAGCAAAATACTGGGTCCAACCGAGCAGCAACCTCCTGTCCTGGGAAATGCTAACGCTGAAGTGCCAAAAACTGCAGTTCCTTCAATTTGCAACATAAGGCTGGCTCCAAAAGTGAATCAATCTCCACAGACTGCACAGCAGAATAAATATGTTTACAGCCTGGTACATTGCATTATGCATTACATTAATGCACATCATGTAGGCTACTATACACCATATCGTTTTTTTTTTTTAACACTGTGAGCCATGTTCATCTTCATCCCTCTGAATATATTTTGGACATTTCTATATATTCTAGACAGTTACACACAACTAATATTAAAGTAAACTGAAAATACGAACGCAACATGCTAACCAAGCTAGCAAGCTAGAGCTAGTGTTAGCTGGAAACTTACAGTAGCATTTGTTATGCCAACCGACTGTCCTGACCGGGAAATAATAATACATATAATTGATATAGTGCTTTTGTAAGTACTCTTAGACCCTTAACAATAATGAATAAATGATAAATAAATACTTTAAGAAGCATACAAGAAAACATTCATACAAAATACACTAGAACACACTAAAAGAAAACAATGGACGCAATGAAATTAAGAAAACCAAACTATAGAACAGATCGGTTGTTTAGGGCGCTGTCGATGATGATTCATAGTCAGTGAAAAGTCTTTCCTGTATGATTTACTGTGGTTACTGGCTGAGGAATGGGATGAGTCAAATCACTGATTTCACTGCACACCCGCACATCTTAAAATTCAGTTCATGTTTTAAACTCCTCATGGACCAGTGCTCAATTGTCCCATAGTTGATTTCTGAATCCACAGTAATGGTGTAGTTTTCTTGCCCATACTTACACATATTACGCTGATTCCAACCACTGTTATTCCAATGAGAGCACAAAGCCACCTGTAAGGAGAGAAGAGACAGTCAGTATTCTCTAAAACACTTCAATAATATGTTCCAATACTTAAACAGAATTATGCCAGCTTTCCCTAACCAATAACAACAATACTTCAAATATATATGTCACATACATTGCAATGCTTAATACTGTAGCTGGGAATGAACAAGGTTCATCCAAAAGCAATGTGTTTCTGTTCTTTTGGAAGGTTGTTATTTTTGGCAGTCCCTGAAGAGGAAACATGTTTCTAATGGGCGCAATGTGAGGTGGTGTAATATTTTCCTGAAAAGAAGGAAATACCAATAAGGTGATAATGAAACAGGAAATCCTTATCATGACTTATCGGGAAACCTTGATAAAACAGTCTCCCTTTTGTTTCAGGCAATAGGCCACAATTCAAGCAAATTCAACTGTTATAATATCTTATATGGAAACACATATGGAACATATTGTGTACGAACCACCGGTTAGTTTTGCACATAAGGGCGGAAGTTTTTTAAAATGTATTTCATAGTCTTTAAAGGTTCTTAATGTAGCTATTCATATATTCTCACAAGACTATGTTATTTATACATAAGTCCCTCAATGCTGTATGTTCCTGTATCATAAAAGCCTCAATAAAGCCAACCTCTCAAACACCAACAAACTGAAAAGTAAATATATACCGAGAGAACAGATAAGGATCATGTATCTCCCTACCTCCCCATCTTGAGCGCCAAGGTGCCGAAGATGTAGGTTCCAATAAGGTAGGAGATGGATGCTGGTAAGAAAGCGACGCCTGACACACACACACACACACACACACACACACACACACACACACACACACACACACACACACACACACACACACACACACACACACACACACACACACACACACACACACACACACACCAACACACACACACACACACACCACACACACCACACAGTGTGATAAGCAGATCTCTATCAGCACAGCTTCCATTGTCTGTAATGAAGACTTGTGCCTTCCACCTGCCAGCACATGACACCCTAATATCCTGTTCCCCACCCATCCTCTTTATCTGACCTAGACTTCATATACAGCGCACTGGAACAAACTAATAACACCAAAGACTGCAGGAAGCCTCGCTATAGAAAATATCTAGCGTGGTAGAGGAGTGCTACGTCAAGTCACTAAGTAAGGTCGAATTACTGCTTTGTGGTTATATGTCTCCGCTAACCACAACAACCTTTAGTACATTAAACAACAGACAGGTTTGTTTTATTTTCCATGCACCTCTCTAGTATTAAGCCACAGGTCAGATATATTGGAGCGCTCAGAAAATAAATATTGTAGTTGGATGTTAACGTAAACGCTTTTTACAATTTGAAACTTGTAGAGGTCGAATACTGGATGTTTTCTGGTGCAGTTCTGGAGAAAAGCCACATTGTTGTTTTCCCATTGGTTATTGTTAACATGTGACTAAGGTCATGGCTCATTTTGACCTTTCTTCTTGAATCGAGTGTTGACTTTGCAAGGAAAAGGTTACAGTTAGTTACTACAAATTAATTTTATATTACAGTACAAAGCATGTGATGGGGTTTTCTTACATAATGTTCACTATGATGCTTTACTTAAATGCTTTCTGTTCTAGTTGTAAAATAAATGGAATTCAGGGGTTGTCTACAAAAAAAAAAAAACTATGACAAATATAGTTGTCAGTATTGTTAAGTAAATATAATGTTGTAATGGAGGCGAAACAATGTAAAACACTTTGTTATTTAATATTCAGTTTCCCTGGGCACTGTCAAAGAGCTTCTGATAATTATCAGGATTTAACATTAAGGTCATACTGGTGGCTGGCGCTGCCCTGCTTTATAATCAGAGGTGTTTCTAAGAATCTGACCCCTTCTTCTATGTAGATGGAAAAGAAACATGTGAAACACAGTGTACAGTAGTCTTGTAAAACATTGCCTGTAACGAAGACTACAACAATAACTGAAGAAAGTGTGTGTGGGTCCTCCTACTAGTTTTTGTGCGTAGAGTGTATTTTACTACTGAACTGAGCTTTTAAATACCTAGCTGCCATTTCTTGGAACACATGGTCTCCATCATCCAGATCGGCAGCGTCGGCTCCAACATGGCAATGGCCATATTTCCAAAGCAAATGGCACCTGGGGAGGAAGATTAAAGATAAGTGGAAGCAGTGTCAATTATGGTCTGTTTTTGTTCTTTGGTCCTTATTTGTTACCTCTTTAGCCGCCTGGATGACGGTATACACACATACAAACACAGCCTCTTTGTTTCTGTGCTGTCACTCCTTAACCTGAAGGGAAAGTACTGCTGATCTGAGATTTCAGATAGCATTGTTGAACGTCTTGGATGTGAGACTTTGCAGGAAGGGTTTGTAATTTTGATCTGCTGTTTGTTTTTTGTGTGATATAATATGATGTCATAGTCATGGACTCCCTTTGACAAAAAGCAGACAAAGTTTTCTCCATTACGTGGATATCAGAACACTTAGAACCAATATTGATTATCAACTTTAGTTATTTCATCAGATCTGCGATCATATGTCTTGCACAGCATTCTGACTCCAGGCTGCTGGACAGATGTTCAACACACATCGAGCCAAGGTGAATCGGGATAAACTGGAAAAGGCCCCTGATGTAAGGTGTCCCCTGATATTCTTTGGGAAAGGCAGGGAACACAAGGTGTCCGTCACTATCCTCAGAGAAGGCTGGGAACACGCACTGAAAAAACTCAACCTTTGACTTTAATTGTATTATGACAACAGATTTTCCATTTGTTTTACTTCAACTTTATATCTTTGCTTTCAACTAACCTAATACAGTTGACATTTGTTGACATAATACTTTTTAATAATGAAGCCAACGTTTCAGTTTTTTTCAACATCTGATACTGATTGGGGCATGTCACACCTGAGATGCTCTCCATGTTGTAACAACCACAACCTGTGGTGTGATGGACAGAATGTTAAACAGCATTTCTAGGGAAACGATGGGTTTGGTGACCCTAGGATGTTTTTTGAGCTAGTTCTGTATTTTGGTCCGATCAGGACTTGATGTGGTAAACAATTTAACCCACTTTAGTACAAGAAGCCTTGGGCAGCTTTTATATACAGCTCTCGGGAAGCATTGTAGGTCCAGTGCCTTGCTCGAGGACACTTGGCATTACTTCGACGTTCCGGGACTTAAACCAGCGACCCTGTGGCTCACAAGGTCCCTATAGATTTAGTCATTCCCACCTATGTCTGACTGAAGTCGAACCAATGTGGACCCTTAGGAACAGGAACAATGTTTTGGTCAGGTTGGCTAACTGTGGAAGTATTCTAGACATGTCAAAATGGGACCGGACCATGGCAGGTACAGAGCACGCCGGAGGGAATAAATATCCTGTCCAGTCAGAGAACTTAGTGGTCCGCCAGGAACATGTGTTTGATGAAGGTGAGGGAAAATGGTGTCTGGGCTTAGTTTGCTGTAACAGCAACTGGTAGCAGTGTAAGAGTGAGGCAGAAGCTGATCTGATTTCTGTACTTTAATATGGAAAACTCAATTCCTGCTCTGGATCCAGCAAATCAATTGTTGGCTTTGTGCTTGGCTGACCAACAAACACAACAAAGTTCCGGTTAAATTTCTCTTCCTGCTTTATCCCCAGCACCATAATAAAAGGCAATATCTTACTGATGATTCAGTGGGGTGAATTAGTGTTCTTCACATCTGCTATTATTTCCTTACCAGCTGCGATTAGAATGTATGGATCCTTCATCAGTGTTAACAGCGAAGTCCCCTTCTGACTCTGTGACAAAGGCAGATAACAACATGCTATATCAAACACAGAATTGATGATATAATTCAGTCACAAGCATTCCCACTGTTTATAATTATATACATTTAAAGAACCTTTATAACATGTGTGAGCCTAATGCAGCTTGTTGACATCCAAACAGAACTAACATGTCTTGATGCATGTCTCTGGGGAACCTTGTTAAAATGGAATCGTTTGCTAAAAATTGCACGAGATGTAGAATATTGGAATGGTGAAATAATCTGCAAATAAAACCGATCCTTCTGCTGGCTTTGCCTCCATCAGCAGATCTCAGATAATATAAGATCATGTGTCATTTTGAACAGAAGGGAATAAGCAATCTTTATCTCTTTTCTGAAGGAATTATTCATTAGTGTTTAAAACATATCAATAATGTGTTCACTGAAGACTCTGGTAGTTTCTTTCATTCTCCTTAAGCCTAATAGCCCCGAACATAGACCTGCTGTCCGTCTTGCTGACCAAAGTCTCAACTCACGCTGAGGAACAGGAATGGAGAAGCAGACAAACTGACATGCAGCTTAAAGCGTTACAAATGGTTGCAAATCAGGACCTCTGTTTTCTGAAATGTTTCTACTTATAATACTGATTTCCTTTATTTTTTTCTATATAGCCTTCTAATTGGCTGATGCCTGCCTTTTGGAAGCTAACGTCAATGATACCCCAATCCACAGATCAGAGGAAAGAGCTGGTCACATTTCAATTTGTTGGAGAGCTGAAGGTTGGATCCTGACTGTTAAATTGTCCCTGTTTTCTTGAGAGATGTCAGACACTGTGTCTGGATTCATGTTTTAAATAGAGTGAGTGACTCCATTTACATTTACCAAAAGCCATATGTGTTGATGCACATCATCCACCTTCTTAACATTTCACTTCCTGTATTGACCATACAATGTCATCAAAATCTTTAAAATGATGTGCAGCTGTAAAGGTCACCTTAATGAAGGATGTTAACGTTCAGGAAATGAATGAACAGGGAACACAGACTCACCTCTGGGGCCACCTTGCAGGGCTGTAGAACAAAGAGCTGCAGAGCTGTGAAGACACACAGTGTATCAACTTAATGTAACATTAAACATGTGAAGATATGTTTAACAATGTAAAGCTCACACATTATTATTTCCATTCATTTTGGCATGACTCTTGTTGATTTAAATGTAAGTAACAATGTAAGTGTACCTCCATCAAACAAAGCCAGGCTGGCCAGAATGAGGAAAGGAGCGGTCTTCCCCACAAACTCGTACATCACACTGCCGAAGGGGGGGCCAACTGTGGGGAAACATCAGCTTTATTATCACTTTAGTTACTGCAGCTTTGTTAAGTGTGTCAGGTTAGTTTTTGAAAAAGTGTTGAATACATGTTTCAACATTTGATTTGATAGATTAGATATGAATGCAATTTTTTCTTAATCCATTAAATATTTTTTGTTTAATTGCATTCTTAAAATGTGGGTCAGAAAATCCAGAATTTAATTTGCCATGAATTGTCCATATTAAGCCCAAACTTATTTGACTCTCTTAAACTCAGTTGTTGTCGAATGGTGAATTTGATTTGATTGAGTTCATGATTTTATAATCATATGTGTCCCTGAGACACTTCACCCGAAATTGCTCCTGTGGGGATTGTCCACAGTATTGAGTATGTAAGTCACTTTGGATAAAAGCGTCTAACAAGTGACATGTGATGTAATGTATAAAACGGTTTTATTTTTTTGCGTTCAGAACATTGAAATAGCAAAACTATAAAAGATATGCTATAAAGGGGGGTAATGGCGTCTCGAGCAGTCTCTCTTTCTGTGATGTCTTTACACAATTTATCCGGACGCCATTGCATGTTCGTAGCATTTGAGTACTTTTGAATGGCTAGCTAATGGGCGCCGCTTTGGTTTTAAAGAAAAGGCAAGCATGGTCTATGGGCCCAAGTAGATGTGGAAAAGAAGATCCAGTTCTCTTCATACGCTCATGTTTGGCACCTAGCATGACAGAATGTTGTTCTGTGTTCTCACGCTCTCTCAGGGTCAAAGGATAGAAAAGCAATTGGCACATTTGACTGTCCACTGGCCCAACCAGACCTGATGTAACCTTTACAGTATCATCTGTGTACATACTTAGCACCCCCATTGCAAGACCCCCAGGGCGATTCCGATGGCGTGACTTCTCTCCTCATCATCTGTGTACACACTCGCAAGCATTCCCATACCTGAGAACACACAGAGGTACAGATCCTGCAATAACAACCACTCGTTGAAAAGCATGTTAGCTATGTAAAACGTAGCAGACACAAATAATGTGGTGCATATATACTTATATATATAATAGTGGTAAATGTCATAACGCTAATCACATTAGCTAATTAAAAAACACATGGCTCATTTTGGGATAAACTGGAACTCATGTTGACATGTGTTCGTTTGGGGATTTTAGCCTCTGCTTCTTTTACTCACGATTATGTTTGAGTTCTATCTTTCATCCCTTTTTTTGAGGATTCTAAACAAATGGCAGTACAGTTTATTATTGGGACTTTCTCATCATCTCTGGATTCAGATGTCAGGTGGTTTCCATAGCTTTCAGGCTGAATACAGGCTGTGGTAATTGGCTAGTAGCTAGTCCAATTAGGCTGACTGAGCCTTACAAAGCCAGAGGTATGCCACTGCCTTTAATACCACAAACACGTGAAATAAATGACCCTCCAGGAGTTTAATAATGGAGGGCAGTGTTGAATTAGGTGTATCGTAATTAATACTTCTGTTGCACAATTTCTGTTGCAGAAGTTGTTATGTTGTTTTCTGATTTTCGATGGTTGTGGCCTAAATGGATCCTTTAGCTTACCACTTTCACAGGAACGTTTTAAAAGGGAGTTACCATCTTAAAAAAAAGCGTATTGTCTTTATGCTTTATCTCAATACGGGTACATGTAGGAAAACATACAGTTATCTTTATGCAGCTTTGCTTACTTTGTCCAACATAAGCAACATTTTCAATTCTTCCGTTACACAACAAACAGTCCATATAGGCTTTTGGATGTGTGCTTCATTTTTAGATTACAAACTAAAGTAAGATAGTCCAAAACACCACCAAAGTAGGACTTTCTTTAAATACTTGTGTAGCATCATAGAAGGCAACCTGCTCCCTCTACAGGAGGAGGTCAGCACCTCCTGTCTAATTTAGGCTACAAACAACTTCTAATGCAGCACTCCTTTAAATGCACCACGCTCAGGCTGTCACTCAATGTCCTTTGAGAATCTACATTCAGATGAATTGAATGGTGTAAAGAGAAAAGATTCTTACCGGCCACAGAGGAGCAGGAGGAGCCGACACCCTGCAGTGATCGGGCCAGAAACAGCAGAGCGTTAGCTCGAGGGAGAAGGCAAACACTACACATCAAAGAGCAGAAATATAGACAAAGAAACATCAGGCAAGAGGAAACATTAGGATTTTCTGATGAAGACGACAGGTGGTATAGGACTTACTGATAGTAGACATGAACATGATACAGAAGCCAGCGAATAAGGGAAGTGGTATCCTACTCTGAAAGGACCAAGAGAAAAAGGCAGATTATAATTCAACAGAAAGCATGTCACACACAAACACACATTAACTAAATGGCTTTATTCAAAGATGGTATTCTTCTCAGCATACTATCACTTTCTAAAGTAGTGTTACTTTGCGAGGAAGAGATTATTTTTGTGTGCTTAACGAGTCAAATCTATTGTCAGTCCGAAGACATTTTCGCTATGGCAACCAGCACAGGTATTACGGATGAAGATTTTATCCAAATGTTAATAAGGTGTTGAAGTTACAATTTGTGCAACATGAAGTGAAACCAAATCATAAAATGAAAGTCAAAATAATCAAATAAACTGCATAGCACATTGTGTCCTGTAACCCCAGGAGCACTGCAGAAATTCTGTAGTTGCATGACTCAGTTACGATTGTAGCGGAGCAGGATGACAACGTCTTCTTTCATTAAAATGTTTTAAAGCTGCCATGCACATCAGAGCTGTTGTAATCACCGCAGATACCTGACATGCTTGACTTGCCTTCTATTGTCTCTGTCAGGATGGAAGGTGACTAAGAACCACTAATGTCCTCAATTACAGCATATCTGAGCGCCCATCTGAGACACTGAATATTGCTTTGGAGGTTAGTTGTCACTATTGTTGGAGCATCCATGCTTCTCCATTCCTGTAAACATTTATCTCACATTCTGCTCAAATCGTCACACCGACTCTGGTTTAATCTTCAGAATGATTTCGTTAAATTAAGCCAACGTTGGAATGTTGAATTCCTCCTCAAAGAAGTTTGGGATTGGCTCAACTGGCAGGAAAAAACAGGTAAACAGGAAAAGCGAAGGCACACACACACACACACACACCACACACAACAGCACACACACACACACAGACACACCAGCACACACACCACACACACACACACACACACACAACACACACACACACACACACACACACACACACCACACACACACACACACACTTGTTGTGGCCACCGTGTTTAGAAAGGTGTTGATTGGCCAGTGTCACGGCCTATCACACTCTTATGTTGGTTTAAAATAGAGGAACTCAACCATCCATGAAACTGGAAAATGCACAATCACACACACATCTTCAGGACTGCTCTGTATTTCATTCAGTTGGATTAGCTGATATGACGTTACACACCTCAAAACCCATGTGACATTACTGACATGTTTCCCCTCTATAACTGGAACAGGGAGTTCTGTTTGCTTGCTTTTCTCTCCGATTTGAGTCGGATGTTGAATTAAATAAGTCCACAAGTGTTATTCTGTGTTGACCTCTTGCAGCTTTACAACAAAAGAGGAAATTTAAAAACAATTCTGCCCCCCGGCTAGCAGGAAGCCTCAGTGTCTGTCCATACATGCCACTCTCTGTTCCTTCGTCATTCTGCTTTAAATGAAATCATTGTCTTCCAATGTTTTCTGTCTTTTCTCTTTAACATTTCTTGCACACGCTGAGTTGTGTCAAATGCCACATACGACCATGATTGTAGTTCTGTTCCTCACATGGATTCAAATGAGCTGTAACTGCATGATGCAATTGACAATTTCAGTGACCAGCAGAACAAGCCTGATGGGTCAGAGTGACAGCTACACATGGATGGTGCTGGTTATAGGGAGAGTAAGAAATGCAACTGAATCTTTAGGTCATAATTCTGCATGCAGTAGGAAACTCTGGCACTATATATTATACCTGACATTTACAGAACAATCTATCGACAAAGGAAAAAACAACTTGTGGATTCACCGATAATAAAGAAAAAGGTTGAAAGCACTTATAATGTGTGGCTATACATCACAATTCAGTGCTGTGTCAAACACTATTTAACCTAAAAACCACCCAGTGATCTGTCCTGAAGTGTTTTCAAATGTAATGATTCCAATTTTAAACTGAATGAAATGCAAGGGATAAAAGTAGCTTTTAGTAGGAATAACAACAATGCATTACTTATGTTCTTTATGTGACAACCACAAGAGTTCAGACGGCTTCTACTCCATTTCTAAGCTGCTAAGTCACCAGTAATGTTCCTGGTTTACTGTGAAATGTGTTAACCAGTTCATTCCCAGTGGTGTAAAGTAACTAAGTAGATTTACTCATGTACTGTACTTAAGTACAAATGTGAGGCACTTGAGTATTTCAATGTTTTGCTACTCTGTACTTCTACTTTTACTTTTGGTACTTTAAGTATAATAAGATGCTAATACTTTTGTGCTTTTACTTGAGTAACATTTTGATGCAGTACCTTTAGTTGTAACAGAGTATACATTTGACTGAAGTACAAGAACTGAGTACTTCTCTCACCTGTGTGAATCCCCACAGTTGAGTATTCCCTCCCCCACACAGACACAGAGGGGCCTACCTGTTGGTGAGGGGCCCGATGAAGGGGTTGACCAGCAGCTGCACGGTGGCCTTGGAGGCAAACAGCAGTCCCACTTTCACATTCTCATTGCGCAGCCTGCCGCTGGACTGGGGGCATTCGGAGGAGTTCTGTGGCAGCTCTGGAGCAGGGGGGGGGGTCCGTAGAGCTGACTGTGGTGTTGGGGCCCGCGGTCCTCACCGTGTTGTCATATAAGGACACGATGCTGTGGAAGGCCCCCCGCTGGAGGCCTGCTGTGTCAGGGTGTGGTTCTTCAACGCCATCTGTGCCGACTCATCCAGGCCGTACAGGTAGCTGGGGATTATGGGAACTGGTGGGCATAAAGAGTTGAGAAGAGAGGGATGTGAGGAAACATGACAGAACCACTGACTGATGCTCCGTAGCACAATAGAAAACCAGGGGCCATTTCAACATTTCAACAGAGCAGGAAGGGTGCTCCACACCTTGAATCCACAGTTACATTACATTACATTACATTGCATTTAGCTGACGCTTTTATCCAAAGCGACTTACAATAAGTGCATTCGACCAGGAAGATACAAACTTGAAGAAAACACAATCCTATAAGTACATCAGGGTTCATAGAGCCAAAACATTTCAAGTGCTACTCAACTAGCTTTAGATAAGCCAGTCCTTTGTTAGTAGTATAAGTGCTTTGATAGTAATTCTATCGCTCGAAGTGGAGTCGAAAGAGATGAGTTTTCAGTCTGTGCCGGAAGATGGGTGAGCTTTCTGCTGTCCTGGTGTCAATGGGGAGCTCATTCCACCATTTTGGAGCCAGGATAGCAAACCCACGTGTTTTTGCTGATGGGAACTTGGGTCCCCCTCGCAGTGCTGGTGCAGCGAGCCGTTTGGCTGATGCAGAGCGGAGTGCACGTGCTGGGGTGTATGGTTTTAACCATGTCCTGGATGTAGGAAGGGCCAGATCCATTCGCAGCATGGTAACGCAAGTACCAGTGTCTTGAAGTGGATTCTAGCAAGTTACTGGAAGCCAGTGAAGCGAGCGGAGGAAGCGGCATGGTGTGGGAACATTTAGGAAGGTTGAAGACCAGACGAGCCGCTGCATTCTGGATGAGCTGCAGAGGTCGGATGGGCACATGCAGGTAGACCAGCCAGGAGGGAGTTGCAGTAGTCTAGGCGTGAGATGACGAGAGCCTGGACCAGAACCTGCGTCGTTTTCTGGGTCAGGTGCGGACGTATCCTTCTGATGTTGTAAAGGGTGTATCTGCAGCAGCAGGTTGTAGCAGCGATGTTTGCAGTGAAGGACAGGTTGTTATCTAGGGTCACACCCAGATTCCTTGCAGTCTGAGTCGGGGAAACAGTAGAGGTGCCGATGTTGATTGTTAGGTCGTTGCTTTAACCACTGAGGGGTTTGTTTCACCTAACATTACAAAGTCCACATTTCTACATTTCAAACAAATCGAAAAAAGATGTGCCTGTTGCAGAAAACTTGATTGTGTGGAAATGTATAGAATATAACATACATTACATTAACATTACATTACATTACATACATCTTTCTTAAAAGTGCTAGAAAAGTGCTGGGAAATGTTGAAGCCACTGTAACAGACAATAGGATGAGGACACATAACATGATATTTGTATAGCAAGAGTGATTCGCTGAGAGGAAGAAGACCTGGGGCCTCATTTATAAACGGTGCGTACGCTCAAAAGATGGCGTACGCCAGTTTCTAAGCAATGTTTGCGATTTATAAAAAACAAACTTGACGGGAAAATGTGCGGTCCTCCACGCAAACTCTAACCCATGCGTACGCACTAAGCACAACAACGGGAGAGACGAGAAACTGCGACACCGTTGGCAGAAGGAAGAATGGAGAGAAATATGTGGAAATAATACCATAAATAAAATGTTACCTCTCATTTATCAAATAAGAAGAATTCATTTTCAAACATTGATTAAAGCCAATCTTAAAATGATTAAACAAAACGCCTGTTTGAGACTCTCAGTGCACACAAAAACATAACTTGGAGAAATAAATATATACGGATATGTTATTGAAAACCACCTTGAATATGGAATATGTCCAAAGTATTCTCATAAATGATGCAGTAAGCAGAAGGACAGAATTACATCTAAACTGATGCCGTTTTGCTTTTCTATAGGTTGTAGATACGAGCATGGTTTTATATACTATCATGTTTAATCATGTTTTATGCCGTTTGCTAAGACTTGATAAGTCGCTCATAAAACACAGGAGGTATGGAAACTAAGAACACCATATATTTGGTAGATTTGGCAGCTGATATAACACAACACATTTGTTTTATTTCATTTAACTGGTGGATATAGAGTTGCTGCAGTGGAGACGCTGCGCACAGCTGATCGACAGCTGGAACACAAACCACCAAATAAAAAAATAAACATTAATTGACTCCACTCCGCAGGGATCCCCCTGCTAGTGGAGCCTCGCAGTGGTGAAACCGTGCCGCGCCACACTAATTGCGCCACATAAGCGCATAGGTGCGCCGCATTTTCGGCTCAGTTGAGGCACCCTCCGCAAGGTGAGGCCCCCTCCGCAAGGTGAGGCCCCACGCAGTCTGCATGATCGGCCTGTAGGGAGGGACGGCCCTGTGTGTATTTTGTCATTAACTTTTTTCGGACCACTTATTTATTTATTTTGGTGACGATCCGACCTCCATGCTGCTACTCTGGTTCAAACTGCATCCACCAAACAATGTGATTTGTCTCCACCTTCCCAAAAGAACAAAATCTGACACAATGTGAAAAGCCTTTTTTAGCTGTTCTGTCGTCATTTCCTGCGATCTTCTTCATGCAGTCAGTCTGAATGAATATTAATACGGGGCGTTTCTTTAACTATTTATAGGCAAATATGGGCGTTACGTGAAGCCCGCAAAAGCTGCGCCGCATTTCGAGTTGATTGTGATTTATAAAAGGGAAACCGGCGGAGGACGTGCCGCACGCAAGTCCTACACCGGTACGCAGTGTTTTATGAATCGGAAAATGTCTGTGCGTATTTATTTGCTTTGTCCTACGCAAGCAACCTTCCGACGTGAATCCTACGCAAGGCTTTATAAATGAGGCCCCTGGTATGGAAAAACAATCTCTATAAAATATAGAATATAATTTAAAATTCTTCTCCTAGCCTACAAAGCACTTAATGGTCGGCACCATATTATCTTAAAGAGCCCATACCTAAAACCCCAGAGGGCATTGCTCTCTGATGTTTCTAACATGTTTTTCCCAGTAACTGAGGGGTTTCTTTTGGAGTTGGTCCTTGTAGCTGCCAGGGTCTAAAGACAAAGGGTGAGCTGTACACACTGTATAGCCCCTGAAACAAATGTATAGTTTATGATATTGGGCTGAGAAATGTAATTATGGATTGATCTTACTACTTTGATTATCGACCGAATGTAATGTGGTGCTGCTTCACCTGGAATGGCTTTGACACGCGTTTTGCCTGAAGATAGCTGAGGAGGATGTGGCAGTCTTTTTAACTGAATACACACACACATCTATATATTATTCAACACTTAGTGTTATATATATTTGTATATATATATATACAAATATGGTAAGGAACAATTTATGGTACTGTCATCATACAATGTCCAAATAATTTACTATGCTACATTAGACGTGATAATTATCTATGATTTTGAATAATGCAATGATTGTACAGCAATTTGGGTTAGGTTTTAAACGCTGCCTTAACAAACACATGTCATTATCTGCCTACAGGTTATGTTTTATCAATACATTCTTTAGTGAAACAACTGTTGATGCTGTTCACAGACTTTAGAGCCCAGCCCATTCATACCTTTAAATAACCTTAACTCTGTAAAGCCCAAATATAGAAAAACATTAGCACATTTTTTTTTTACCTTTCAGATGTTGTTGTAGGGAGCCTCAGGTGCAGATATGAAAGAGTTTTCACATTTCTACGTTTTGGTACGTTTTTAGGGAAATATTGTAAGATTGCAACGTTGGCCTTAGGTGGGAGCAGAATTTCTGTATTTCTACTCACATTGTCTGAATAAATATATTGAACAACTAAGGGTTAATTTGCAGGATTGATTGCTTACTTAGCCCTATATCAGTATAAAGCATGAATAATAATCACACATCAGTCATATCTTTTATGAATAGTCATTTATTAAATAGTAATGCAATGGTAGTCCCAAAAACAGTTCCTGTCGTCGGAAAAGCACAGACGGACGTCACACTTGCTGCATTGAGTGTTTGTTTACCCTTTACTCATAGGTGGCGTGTGAGGCTCAGGTTTGGGAAGGCTAAACAACTTTTTCTACCTGACGCTGCCCGCCTCCGGCGTCTATCGTTTTTCCAACCCAGTTTAGATTTAACCACGCCTACTTCCGCATTACACACAAGACGTAGCTCTACGCGACGTCATTGACGTCATCTTCGGCAGCCTGTGTAGTAACCATGCTTAACAAAAAAAAAACTCCCGGCCTGCCTCCCACTGCCCAGCTCAGCTCCTGGCTTGCCTCCCACACTGCCCGGCTTACTAGATATTACCTTATCTGACTACTGGTTGTTTTAAAGGTCCCATGTCATGGCCATTTCTACTGATCATAATTCCATTGTTGAGGTATAAAATACATTTACATTGTGCAATTTTCCAAACTCACATTGGTTTCTCATACAGCATCTCTGTAT